AAAAATACACACAAGGGATTCTTTTTGAAAATGCCGAGAGCACGAACTCAGGAGGTTCACCGTTCCAGCGGTGAGCTGCTCAGTGCCACTGCCTTAAATAGCGGCTGGGGAAATCAGCCAGATCAGCAGCAGGTGGACACAATCACACAGGTGCGTGGGCCAAGAGCGAGAGCCCGTAACGAGCTCCACCCAGGCAGAGAGGAGGAGGAGAGACAAAGAAAACAAAAACTAACAACAACAAAACCTGTAGCCAGCGTGGGCCAACCAGAGAGACACGGGTGCCCTCCACTGATTCACAAGTGTGTCTAGTTTATGGCTGGTCATTTGGTCTGTGTTTATCTGTACAAACTAAACAGTTTAATACAGAGACATTTATTCATACTGGTTTGGCCAGGTATTTAGGAGTCTTTTTAAAATATTTTTGTTTCCTTTGTTTGTTGATGTTACAGTTAATGGGTTTTACTCATTTAATGTCCCAGTTGTAACCACCACCACCACTGGTTCAAATTTGTATGATTCTGTGTAGATGGATCAAATTGAAGTCAACGGTATATTACCATTACAAGCAAACTGTTTGAGTGTTTTTGGTCTGAACCTAATCACAGCTGATGTGTTCAGCTCATCCTAAACTAGTTACTGGGTGAAATATGATGAAGGAAGTTTGGTGTGGCAGCGCGGCTAAGCTGCAGGTAAGGTTGGCTTTACATTCATCACATTCTTTCAAAAAGACGTCGCAAAAACACTTTGAGGAAATTTCTTTAAAGTGCAGAAATGTTTGGGTTTATTTTATGACTAAAGGTTGGGGAACAGCTATAATGGTTTGATAGCTGATGTAACTGCTAGATTATTGTGTACTGTGGATGGTGAAATCCACAAGGATCAATAAATCTAATAGCCAAAGAAGCAGCACAGGAAAGCTGATCACATAGCATGCCTACAAAGAAAACATGTCTCAAGTCAATTTGGAAGTTATTTTAAGGAGAATAATTTCCTCCTGCTAAATTGGCGAGCCTAATCTGTGATACAGAGATTAAAGAGTGAAAAGAGTCTGTATCCCGAAGGATAACGAGCTCATCTGTGATATGCACATTACTATGAACGCTCCAAGCTTAGATTTGTCCCTGATATTACTCTAAAGAATAGGTATCTTTGTGCTAAACATAACCCATCTATTGACTGAGGGCCAAGTCGCATTCTCCACACACGTTATACTTTTTTTAACACTCAGCAGGAGATCTCTACGGGCGGTCCTCTCGACAATAGAGCCATCTCTGGTTTTAACAGTGATATAAGCACTTCCTCAGAACCTCTGTGCTTGTATGAGTGTGTGAGGTCACCGCTGAGAGTAATAGCAGTCCAAAGCAATGTAAAATCACCTCCAATGTTATGGCAACCAGATATGACTCTGAAGCACCTGAATTTATGATAAGGACCATTACAGAGAAAATGAGTCATCTAAATGGAAATGGAGATTAGCAATTAATCAGTGCAATTTGTCATGTGTTTAAAACATTTTACTCTAAAAATGAATATCTTTCTCCACATGAGAAATGTGGAAAGTATTTATTCTACCTGAATGCACAATCACCCACTGCTGTTTCCATAAAAACAAACAAAACATGAAAATAGCAGCAGATATTAACATGATTTCTTTTTTTGATGTATGCGTGTAGTATTTGAGAATGAAACGTTTCATATGTTAAACATGTTTTGATTCTGCTCCAAATACAAAGAGAAAAATAATCCGCAGAATATTGGTCTCTTCTATCAGCAGCACATGAAGCTTATGTAAAAAGGTAATTATATCGTGGCAGGTTGAGACTCCAGGCAAACAATGCATTGGAAGATGATGAATGCGCAGCTCCGTCAGCAATGAATATCTTTTCATTTTGCCAGCTTTTCTTCACCTCTGCGAGCTTCTCTTGTCAGTAGCTGGAGAGTGTTAGCCTGACATTGTGCTGGATAACAGAAATAACAATAAGCAGTCTATAGAAGTCAGCAAAATTGCATTAAAAGAGGCAAATGAAAATTAATGCAAATTAAAATGCAAAAAAAACACCCCTCATCTAACTCGTCGTTCTGTTACTATCCTTAAACTTGAGTTATTGTACAACAGAGAAACTACAGTAACTTAATAAACTTTTATTTATTTAGCATTGGCAGTGCCAATGGATCCACACCAGGACCTATCTAGTTACATTTTTATGTGTTAAATAAACTCGTGTATCTATGGTTCAGGGAGCAACGTTTTGCTACATAAAACAATCAAAATCTTTGTTTCTTTTTTTTACCTTAAAATAGCGCTGGCGTTTGAAGTAAGGATAAATCCAAATAAAAGCTACGCTACATACATTTCAAAGTAAGGTTGGTATGGCAACCCACCATCAGGGAATTGTTAGTTTCACCTTTTCATCCAGACTGAAATAGATCAATGACAGCTGGATGCTATGACAGTGAGAACGTGAGAAGTTCATGGTCCCCAAAGGATGAATCCAAAAGACTTTGTTAATGTTTAACTATTGATCCTATAATATTTAACTTGCCAAGTGAAATACATGTCCATATACAAAATGGATTCGTTTAAGCTGCATACACTCATGATCCCCTGAGGATGAATCACAGACACTGATGATGATGATGATGATGATGATGATGATGATGATGATGTGAGTATTGGTCTTGTGAATTGTCAGTGAAGTATCTCAACCCTCAACGGGCTCATTTCAACAGTGTTTCTATCCTGGCTCCTTGGCTCTATCTTTACAGCAGCCTCAAATTTGTAGTTTATCGAATTTTGATGCAAACCCTCTGAGTTTTTTGTTAAGTTTGCTACTGCAGTTTTACCTAGCATTATCCTCATTATTGTTTCCCATACTACTAAGTGCCGTGGGTTGCGGGGGGCGGGGATGTAACACAATAAAACAATAAAAGCAATTACTGAATAATTATGTACAACAAATTTCTCTCTCTAGCTCTCTCTCCAAGTCCTCTGTGCCCCATGTTTCAGAATTGGTTAGGTGAAGTTGCACAACAATTCTCATTTGTTATTTATCTCATTTTCATGCTACGCTGTAGCTCCAGAGGTCAGAATTCTAATTAAAATGCAACGTACTGGGTAAACAAAGATTCTTCCAGCAACCTTGATGATACAATGCTGGCAGTGCGACAGAGAAGGTAGGCAACCAAAAGCAGATGTAGAGCTGGAGAAAATATAGTAGCGAAAGGATTTCTACCTTCTACTTCGTGTACACACTGATAACAACTGATGTAATATGTGTGGAGTCCAACACGTTCAGTGCAAAGTACTCCCAGTACTCCCCTCTAGACAGCACCTGAAGCATTGGAAACATCTTTACATTTTACGTAAATCACAATATGTGTGTGTGTTTGTTTTTTCTTGTCTCTCGTATGACTCGTATGATCCTACCTGCGAGATGTGCAGTAGTTGAAGCTGCATTAACCACATTTAGTTGGAGTGATTCTTCTTTTTTTTATTCCAAACTGGATTCTGGAGTAAAAAATGAATTAATAAAGCAAATGTATTTGTTTGATTGTTAATGTTTGCTGATATATTTTTGTTTTTGTTTTGTTTTTTACATAATGGGAAAAAAAGCATGATCAAGATATTTGATTTCGCTCAAATAAAACTGGTCTTATGGCGTCATCTTATTTCAGTTGTGTGGAAATGATTTGGTTTATCAAAGAACAACATCAAACAGACCACCCTGCTGTGCAGGCAAAATAAGACTGTTAGAATGCCATGTGTGCAATACTGTAATTTATTCAACTGTGATAAAAGCAGTGTAGTGCACTCCATCTCAGTCTCCAGCCCTCCTTAGCGCTTCTTCTTAGGCCTGAAAACTATCTGATTCTGCTGCTCTGCTCTGGTTATCTCTGTTTCTTTGCTCAGATTAGCGCACCACACTCTGGTTCCCCCGCTGCTCTACAGAGCCAGCAACCCACCCAGTGACGTGTTCCACTGCCCTGCCCTGACCCAGCTTAACATATTCATTTATTAATCACATTTAGTTAGCTCTGGATCGTGTTACAGTAGCTTTCATATCAAAATCTGTGCAGCAAAAAAACAATGTGTTGCTAGGCAACTTTACATTCCACAGTTTTTGTTATGTCGTTGATGGCAGCTCTAGGTATGAGTGGCTGTCATTTTCCCCTTTTTATTCCACACCCAGCATCCACTGTATGATGGATAAACTAATTCCTTAAAGTGAACAATAGTAACAAAATATAAGATATTAGAGTTTTATTTTAAATTAGTTACATTGTTTTTAAAAAGCCAAGAGCTCAAAATGACCCCATTGTCAGTCCTAGTGTTAAATACACTGATTCATTTTGGTTTGAGATATTTATAGAAAGTGTAATAGAGCAGTGAATGTTGAATGAGATTTCATCTAATTAGTGCCAGGACTATAAATTCATATTTCCAAAGACTGCACAATAACCAAAGTGTAGAATAACCACCAGTGTTGGGAAGGTTACTTTTAAAATGTATTCCACTACAGATTACAGATTACATGCCCCAAAATGTATTTTGTAATGTATTCTGTTACGTTACTCAATGAGAGTAACGTATTCTGAATACTTTGGATTACTTAATATATTATCAAGCTATTTACAACTACATGAATGTCCTATTGCTGTGTGATTTATTACTATTACTGAAGGTTACTCTCCATACCAACACCAACTAGATGTTTAAATCTTAATATAAATGAGTAACAGTAGGTGGAGATTAGGTAAGGCGGCACTTTTTGCAGGGATCTCGTATAGAAAACTATTCCGCGCGTGTATAAAACAGGTCCGCGGCTCTGAACCGCAGTAAAGGGACCTCTGGCTAATACGTCGTAGCTGAAAACTAGCTTTACTTTGTTGTCTGGGTCAACTTTGCTAGCGAGAGACAGAGAGAGGCGTTGAAAGGCTGCTCAAACTGAACTTATTGTTTCAGAGGAAAACACAAACACCGTGTACAGTCGAGTCTTAATAGCTTACTTACAGCTAGGGGTGTCAAATTATCGCGTTAATTGCGATTAATTAATTACAATGCTATTTAGCGCGTTATGTTTTTTAATCTCGTTAATCTAATTTTTAATCTCTTGACGTCACTGATTTTGTATGAGAGTTGCTATGTTATAAAATCCGTTTTTATGTGCTGGGCTCCTTGTGCTTGACTTGTTGGGGGTGGAGTCACGTCGTGAGGTCAAGGTGAGAAGTGGTGATTAGCTTACAGTGTGGATATGGAGGCGCATCTGAGAGTTGTTGGCCCAATGAACGGGAAATTTGTATTTCATAAACGCCCCGACGGCACCATTGACAAAGGTAAAGTGGTCTGCCTAGAGTGTAAGAAGGAGTTTGCTTACCACCGAAGCAGCTCAAGTTTGGCCTATCACCTCAACGCAAAGCACCCAGCCGCGAGTGCAGCAACAGCTAGCAGTGAAGACGTTAGCAATATAGCAAGCCAGAGCAAAGCTTTTCGCCAAACAAAACTAGAGAATACCCCTCGTATGAGCAAGTCTGCGACCGACAGGCTGACTAATGTTATTGCCAAGTGGATAGCGATGAACTGTAGGCCGATAAATATAGTAGAGGACGAAGGATTGACAGAGGTGTTGCAAATTGCGTCCAATGACCCGTCATACAAGCCGCCGTGCAGGACTACAGTAACGACCAAAATCAGCAAAATGTACGACGGCGAAAAGAAAAACAAACTTGAGATTTTGGCGGAGGATTCTCCCAACTGTGTTGCTATAACCGGAGATCACTGGACCTCAGCTGGCAACCACAGCTATTTTGGGGTGACTGGACACTTTATTGATAGTGAGTGGAACCTCAACTCATTTGCACTGACCGTCATGAGAACAGAAACCAGGCACTTTGCTGATAAATGCGCCGAACAGTTCCTCAAGGTAGCAAATGACTGGGGTATTGAAAACAAGATATCCACCATTGGCACAGACAGCGCAGCAAACATGCTGGCTGCTATGAGAGCACTTCCATATGAGCACATCGCCTGCAATGCTCACATTCTCCAGAGGACCATCACGGTATGTCTCGATAGCAGTGGTTTTGTCGGTGTACTGGCAAAGTGCCGCAAGATTGTTGGTCATTTTAAACAAAGCCCTGCGAGTACCACAGAACTTAACCAACAACAAGTAGCACTCGGAAAGAAGAGCGATCAACTTATACAGGATGTACCCACCAGGTGGAACTCGACTCTCGCAATGGTCTCACGCCTCCTATGTAACCGAGAGGCTGTCCAGGCTACGTTGGACCAACAGAACCACAGGTTGGTCTTGCCAACCGAAGCTGAGTGGGCGAAACTGCAGAGGCTGGAGCTCCTGCTTGAACCATGCAAGTAAGTTCAAATAAACACCTTCCCATTTTAATTATATAAACTACTGTTACATGTGTAAAATCAAAATTAATGAACATAACAAGGAACTTTTAAGGACAATTAAATTGGGAATCAGTTACACTTTGATTTAAATGAATCCAGCTAGGTTTATTTAGCAAACCTCTCCACCTCTGCAGGTATGTGACAGAGCTGCTGGGTGGTGAGGCCTACGTCTCTTGCTCTGTAGTGCTGCCTGCTTTTCGCCATCTGTACCGTGTCATGGACATTACTGATGATGATCCTGCCTACGTGGTGAAGTTCAAGAATGCCTTCCAGAAGGATCTGGCAGCACGACGAGCTAATGGCAACGAGATATGGTTCGAGGTGGCCACAGCATTGGATCCACGGTTTAAGGATTTGAAATGTCTTCCAAGAGAAAAGAGGGAACAGGTAGGACAATAAGGTTAAGCTGGACTAATGAGTCCAATTCATTATCAAATCAAACTTTTATTTATTATATGGAACACAAAGTTCTTTACAAGATTAAATAAAATTTTAAAAAAAGCACTTAGTTTTAATCACAATCATTCATTCATTCATTCATTCAGGTGTGGACCATTCTGGAGAATATGCTCCAGGCAGCAGAGCCCAGAAGAGCAGATAGTCTCCAGCCCTCCACAGAGGATGATGGACCAGCTCAGAGGAAGAGGAGGAGCGAACTCCTTCTGGGGTCTGACTCTGACTCAGAAGATGGAATTGAGTCTGGAGAGCTGCAGCGCTACAGAGCATAACCCAGCATCAGTATTGATGACTGTCCCCTGCAGTGGTGGTATGCTCACTCAGGAGTCTATGAAAAGCTGTCAGTCCTAGCACAAAAGTACCTGGCCTCCCCAGCTACCTCTGTACCCTGTGAGAGACTCTTTAGCCTTGCAGGCCACATAGTGCAAAAGAAAAGGGCAGCCTTGCTTCCAGAAAATGTTACCAGGCTGGTGTGTCTTAGCGACTGGCTGAGGAAGAAGAAATGAGACACATGTGGTCAGCATAGCTGCTGTGTCATTTGTAGCCTACTAGAATAGATTGCTTGATGTTCAGCACTTTTTTTTGTGATGGAAGAATACTTTGATGTGCTAACTTGCAGCACTGCAATGTCAGTTTTATTTTTCATTATCTGAAGCAGAGGAATTTCAGTGCTGTATTTCTCAGAAAAGAGCAACTCTGATGTGCTAACTTGCAGCACTTAATTTATTTGATTTTATTTGTATTTATTTTTCCACTTATTTTACAAAAGAATACAACAGTATGTAACTGGTTGCATCTGTTTAACGTTTGTTAAACAATAAATGACTTTATAAAGTCACTTTCTTTGTTATATATCAGTCTTTTGGTCTGCCACAAGAAGTTGAGGGCTTTCCTCAGCTATTTTTAGGTGAGATTAAAAAAGAGATTAATTAGATCAATTAATTAAAAATCATAATTAATTAATCTCTATTTTTTTTTAATCTCTTGACAGCACTACTTACAGCTGGGCTCGTCAGGCTCTCTTTTTGGCTGCAGTGGTTTTTATTATATTTACATGCTTCCAGCTCCCGTTTCTGCTCGGTGACAGCTCGTCCTTTCCGACTTTTCCTCCCTCCCTCCCTCACAGACAAATAACGGGTATGGCAGTCCATTCTTCCTGCAGCACGGACTACACTGCCCATCAGGCTATATGCTTTAGGCCTATGCCTGTAACACTCTGCCTATTGCCTTCATATTAAATCATTTTTGTGAATAATTTAAAAAAATATTTCTTCACGTCATTATGCAATGACATGAAGTAGAGGTGACATGGGCCACAGGCATTAAAGCCTCTTAATGCGTGTTTTGTTTGGGTTTCCACTGGCGTGGAAAGCAAAATTAAAGAGGGTATAGCCTTATGAAACAGAAAAATACCGCTGTGTAATCCATTCATTTCAACAAAGTAACTGTATTCTGAATACCACCTTTTTAAATGGTAACTGTAACGGAATACAGTTACTCATATTTTGTATTTTAAATACGTAACGGCGGTACATGTATTCCGTTACTCCCCAATACTGATAACCACTTCACAATTAGCTCAGTTACACAGTCCAAACAGGAGGGGGACACACTTTTATTTTTTCCAAGTGTGGTAAGCATATGTGACATCTCTTTAAACCCAAGCATAGTTCTCTATAGTTCCAATTTAAACCTGGGATTAAAGCTTTAAAGCTGGAATTTATATTTTTTACAATTCTATAATTTCTATAGCACCTAGATGAGCAAGAACCAAAAATGTATCCTAATAAAAATGCCTTTTTTTAAAATACAGATCTGGTCTGATCTGTGTTAGCAGCTCAGGGTGGGGATAGCCTGTAGAACTGTTATCCCTGTTTGCACTTCATTGTACATAGATTTTATTATTCCTGTGTACATATGTATTATATGCAATGACATACCAAAGACATCAGTAGGGTTCAACTTTTTCTCTGCGTTGGAGCTTCGAGTTATGACACATATGCTAATAAACTCTTAAAACCTATTCTGTTTCACAGTTAAACTCCACGTATGTTCATAAATCAGATACAGAATTAATAGTAAAATGAAGAAGAATATGCTTTTATTGTGAAAGTAAGTCATATTTCACCAAATGTGTCATCCTTAGGGCATTCTCACTGAAATACAATTGGTCAGAGCTAAGTGCCAAGCAACTATTTTAAGTCTCAAATAGCTGTTGGAAAACAACAATCAAAATGTTCCATCTCCTTGAAATCCCCTCCATGTTCCTGCATCTCTGTTTGCCTCAGTCCCTCAGGAAAAAAAAAAACTAAATCAGCATTACTGAAATGTAGTCCAAATACATCAACACACACTGCATTGCATTGTATCCACAGTCTCCGGAAACCCTGTGGCATCAGTTTTTATTTCCTTTGGACTGAAAATGAAAGGTAATGTGTAATGATTCAAGCTAGCCCTGTGGTAATGATTTGTAAAATACTGTCACTGCAGTAGTGTCAGTGGGGGGAAATGGTCGTTTTTCTCAATTTCTGAAAAGTTTCAGTGGATAGAAGAGGGTTTTGCAGGCACTGGTATTATAAACTTTTTTTCTTCCTGATAGTCAGTCCTTGCGTCGTCGGCTGTCTGTCTCTATCTGCCCACCGATCTATTTCCAAACGCATATCTCACTGTAGCAGTGCTCTGTTGAAAACTGGCATGAAAGCTCAGTCAGAGGACCTTTGGCAAACAAAACAGCAGACAGTGACAAAACCAAAGTTCCCTCCAATCCCTTTCTCCCATGGCTTTTCTCCACAGAAAGTCTGAAATACAAAGTAAAACAAACACAAATCAAAGAGCAGGAACGCTGCTTTAAACAACAACTTAGGCTCAGCAGCTTATCTCACAAACCTGTATTAAACATTATCATTAATCCTTCATGGTGAGGTCAGAGGAGACTTACATTTATAGCTCTGAACAGAGGAATGGTGTCAATCAAGGTCACTTCATTTGCATACGTGGCTTTTGTATGTGATGGTGCTGTCAGTCACATGAGCTGTAGTGCAGCTCAACATGACTTTAGTATCCACGTGACTAATGTCATGTTAACGTAACCTATAAGTTGGTCGTGGCGTCAGATTAGAAAACAGTGATAAATTCTTCTCATGAATTAGCAGCTGCAATAAACCCGTCACTGCTTACTGGAGTCTGTTGGCTATCTGTCCATAATGTATGTTTAAAATTGCATTGAACTCTTATTGGCTGATGCTCTGGGCATATTCTGAGCGTCATCACACTGCTGAAGACAAGTAGAAAATAAGATTTGACAGCATGTCTCATTGCTGCTTGATGACGTGCACATTTGGTTGCATCAACAGGACTGTGGACAAACACCACCAAAACTGGTTTCGAAATCATAAAGCAGGTTAACCTCTTCTCTTCTAAACTTCTCGAATGGCCTCGAAGCCTTGACCTCAACCCTACTGAAAATGTGTGGACCCTGCCAGAAAACCGTCCAGTTTAAATGAACTCTGCCAGTTGTGCCAAGTGGTCAGACATCCCAGAATTATGCTGGAAGCTTCTTGATGGCTACCAAAGATCAAGGTGCAACTTCCTAAGGCCATTTAATCAAATAGTAGTGAAGGTGCATGTGTACATTTAAGTTTGTATGTAAATGCTGATTAGAGAAAATCCAAAATGGCCATAACATTCATGCCCATAATAAGTATACATAAACTCATACACAGGCTCAAAACGTGTACATACAGGTGTCCTGAATTTGTAATTGAGGTGAGAGACAAACGACTTGAGGTCCATTGTGCGTCAAAACAATGATTTTATTGAAACACATATATGTGGGAAGCCGAGCACGATCACTCAAATAGCATCGATCTTCCCAGAACAATAAATGAGGAGTCATATATATAGTCAAAGGAGCTTGCAAAGAAAAGCGTCTGGACTTCTTTAAGTTACTTGAAGACGTTTCACCTCTCATCCGAGAAGCTTCTTCAGTTCTAAGGTCAAATGCAAGCTCCTTTGACTACGATGACCTGGATGACTGAGAACCTTCACAGACAGTCATATATATAACATATTTGATGACGAACATTATGCGTCAAAGCAGATAAATAACATGCACCAGTTCCAGTTCTAGTAATTCCACCTTGGACATATTCTAAAAAAGAACAGTTCCTTCCTCTGTTCCTCCGCCACCGCCAGATGCTTCCTGTTATTTCACTTACTGCACTTCAGAACAGAACATGAGCATGCCGTTTACAAGCAAAACAAGTCTATATACTGTGTATGTGTGCAGGCAGACTTATGTGTGTCTTGACCTCAGTGCATGACCTCACTCGACAAACAAAGACATTTTAGAAGTATACTTCCTGACTCTGTTTGAGTCATCTGTTACCAGGCAAACTCCAATGCAGCAGGCTGCTGAACACACACAGGCCTTTATTCTATTCCTATATAATATGCGGTGAATTGTAAGCATGTATGCAATCCTTTCAATAGCTGTGGGTCACTTTACTCAATAGATCGGTCGAACATCGCGTCGGCCGAAGCTTCAGACCATTAATTAACTTGACCAAGCTTCAACTCTTTAATTAGCACAAAAATGCAATGTGTATAACATGAGTACAGTTGCACCTGCAATGAAAGATTATTATGTAATTATGCTCACACCTGAAATACAGACTTTAATGTAACATCAACAGTTTCAATAAATGCTCTAATGAAATGATAATTGATGCAACAGTAATGATAATGGTTATGAATAGTAACAGTAAAATAATATTCTAATCTCTACACAGGTAATCAACATTTGGGATCATCTGCTGTCGCATATATTTTTAAAATGTCTAGTGAGCATTATTTCCTACAAATAAGTCTTTTGGGATTCAGTGAGTTCTTTTATACGAACATTCAGAACTATGTTTGTTTTCTGATCTGAGTGCAAATAAACAATTTGAGTTTTAGACCTTTAAAATGTAATAATTTTCAAAGGCTAACAATGGTTTAAAAAAGAAATTGCAATAAATTTCACTTAAATAAGGAGACTAATAAGGACATATCCTTTAATATCATAAGCTATAACTAGCCTTCTGATGAGGACATGGACCCCACACTGACACACAGGTTACTGCACTCTGTGGTTGGCCTTTCTGACACATAGAGCCCCAGATCTCAGTTTTCTGGGACATCAGCCCATTGGTCAGCTCAGCCGTTTAACCTCTTGACCCAGAGGTTATTTTTGCCTCAGGTCGTTCTCACCTTTTCTTCCCAACTTTAGGACCTACTTACTTTTTTTTTTTTTTTTTTTTTCTTTTTCTTTTAAATGGATTTAAAAGGACTTACTTACTAAATGCTTCAAAGAAACGACACATATGTGATCGGCAGGTCTTGGCAACGTAAATGTGCAGCCAAGTGTATTTGTGAGTACTGTGTGAAATGTGGGATGTGTTATTCACATAGAAAGGAGGTTTGGTGTAACAACAATCACGTTTTTAAATAAACAAAACATGACAAAACCAATGCATCATTTATGTCATAAATCTAATGTATGTAGGGCAGAGGTTTATATATTACTTATATATTAATCAAACTACCGCCTGGCATCATCTTTGTGCTTTGGCCTCCACAAATCAGCACAGTTCTAAAGAGTTTAGCGATGGTCTTTATTTGTAACTGCTCTTCCTTTTCCTTGAGATTGTTTGCACCATCTGACCCCAAATTCTGCATAGCTTACAACTTATGTTGTGTAGCAGTTTTCCCCATTGGTTCTTGTCTGGACATGTGATGATGCAAGTTTACCTGCACATTAAGGATACCGCACACCACACGATACAAATCAGACTTGAAAAGTCCGTGTTAACCTTAAAAAGCATTACCAGTAAAAATGGACTTCTCAATGTACAGGATGAAAGTACAAGGAATAAAAAAGTCACGTATAAATTTGCACACCTGATCACTTTATTCCATATTGATCAGTGAGTTCTGACCTCTGGAT